TGCGCTATCATTAGACAGGTTACACAGATGCTTTTTATTTGAGGCACTTGTCTGTCTTTCAGGTGTCTCAGAGACTGCCAAAGGTGAGGCTGGCAAAGGGGAAGTTGTAAACAGTAAATTCTTTCTATCTACATAGGTTACTGCTATCTCATATAAGTAAAATCATATAGAAACTGTCCTTCTGTGATTTGATCATTTTACTTAGCATAAAGACTTCAGGCTTTATAAATATCTCCTAGGTAAGGACAAGTAACACATACTTCACTTGTCGTCCTGTTGTTCATTGATGTGCTAGACCAGACACCAGTAATGTCTCCATTCATCACTGTCGCGTGATAGTGTAGCCCAAGGTCTTTCAGGATCAGGGGAATGAGACCCATTATTGTTACAGTTTTTGTCATATCGAATATGCCATGGGTAGCTTGCCAGGTTCTGCCATGAGGGCGAGATATTCTCAGCAGCTTGTTGGGCTCTCTGAGAAGGACAGAGCCTTTTGGGTCGGTCTCTGATTGTTTTTACAGGTGTTCCAGTCTACCGTATGCAACTGACATGTTATAACAACCTGCATGCTGACAAACACATACTTATAATTATTAATATATACATATATACGTATTAATATATACATATATATTTGGGCTGGAGTGATAGCACAGCAGTTAGGAAGTTTGCCTTGCATGCAGCTGACCTGGGTTCGATTCCTCCATCCCTCTCGGAGAGCCTGGCAAGCTACTGAGATTATCTCGCCCGCAGAGCAGAGCCTGGCAAGCTCCCTGTGGTGTATTCAATATGCCAAAAACACTAACAACAAGTCTCACAATGGAGACATTACTGGTGCCCGCTCGAGCAAAATCCATGAACAACGGGAGGACAGTGCTACAGTGCTACATATATGTGTATTTCTATATAGAATATATACATATGTGTATACATATACATGTGTACACACACTATATTTGGGTAGCAGCATGAAAATTTGATGTGAAAGCCTATGTGCTACGTTTTGTCCATAAGTGCAATTTTTTCTAGAGACAAAAATGTCTTTGGGGGCTGGAAGAGAGCTCCACAGGTAGGACAGTTGCCTTGCTCCGGTCTGACTTGGGTTTCATCCTGAGAATCCTGTATGGTTCACAGAACAATGCCAGGCGTGATACCTGAGTGCAGGGTCAGAGTCAGGAGGAAGTCCTCAGCAACACTAGGTATGGCCCCAAAATATGTGGTGTATGTTTTTATATATGTGTGTGTGTAAATATATACATATGGTATATATATATGATATGGTGCATATATAATGATATATAATATATGTTTGATATGATATATATGCCATACATATGTTTATGATGTGTATATAACCAAGCGTCACAAATGCTGGCCGACTTTGACCGTGAGTGTGGAAAGGTAGGACTGCAGCTGAATCTTATGAAGACAATGTTTATGAGAAACAGCCTCGTTCCTGACGCCCCATTCGCTCTCAACGGAACGACCATCTCCGAATGCAACAGCTATGTGTACCTAGGTCGAGAAGTCAACATGACAAATGACCTGGCACCCGAGCTGCGCAGGAGGAAGAGAGCGGCTTGGAACGCCTTCAAGAACGTCGAAGAAATAGCTAAGAGGATGAAGAACCTCCGGCTCCGGGCACATCTCTTCGATTCCACTCTTCTTCCTGCATTAACATATGCCTCAGAGACCTGGGCCCTACGCAAACAAGATGAGAACGCTATCCAGGTCTCCCAAAGAAGAATAGAAAGAGCTATGCTTGGAATATCACGTTTCACTCAAATGAGAGAAAGAATCCGGAGTTCCGACATCTGTTGACGATCAAGAATCAGGGATGCTGTCTCATTTGCCAAGGTGTCGAAAATCAGATGGGCTGGTCACGTAATGAGATTTAAAGACGACCGCTGGACTAGAGCTGTTACCGACTGGATCCCACGGGATGTCAAAAGACCGCGTGGCTGCCCACCTACCAGATGGTCAGACTTCTTCGTCAAGATCATGAACAATCGGTTTGAGGCTCTTCATGTTCCCAGAGCGAACAGATGCCTTTGGGCTACATTAGCACGCGACAGGGACAAATGGAGACGTTACTGGTGCCCGCTTGAGCAAATTGATGACTAACGGGAAGTTAAGTGATTAAGTGATATATCATCTATGTAATTTATTTGATGTGCCCACATTTACTACTTAATTTGCCTATTATGAATAGGAAATGTTAAACTCAGAGATGTCCATATTCTCGGATATTTTTAAATAGTAAAAAATTTTTTGTTTCTCAGATAAAAGAGTGTATAATTCTAATCAATTAAAAATCCCTTTTTGTAGTACGAGAAATTAGTCTGCTATCAGAACTTCGAAGAGTATTTTTGAAGATGAAGACAGAAAACAATGATCTTACATAATAACTTAGCCTCATTACTATATTTCAGTTATGTTTGAATTGTAGAGAAATTTTCAATGAAGAGATTTATATTGTCATTACTGGGCATTGAACACGGATCGTGTTTGTGAAAATCTGCTCATTTGTAACCTTTCCCCCACCACAGTTGATATTAATTGCGTATTATTTATTGATAATCTTTTCTCCATTTAAGGGTTCCTTAACTATTTTTCTGCTTTGTAGTTTGATTTTTATATTTTTGTTTTACAAAAGAATGGATTTTGTTCACACATGAGTTTAACTTGGAATCTTAACTTTTTTAAATTGAATCACTGTGAGCTTGCAGAACTTTTATGTTTGCGTTTCAGTTAAATAATGATAGAACACCCATCCCTCCACCAGTGTACATTTTCCACCACCAATGTCCCCAGTAACCCTCCCCCACAGCCCGTCACACCCCTCCGCCTGCATCTATGCAGACAATTTCCCTCTTACTCTCTCTCTTCTTGTGGGTATTATGGCTTGTGATACAGACAATGAGAGACAATCATGTTTGGTCCTTTATCTACTTACAGTGCACATTTCCCATCCCGAGCCATCCTTCCAAACATCACCGATTTAGTGGTCTCTTCTCTATCCCAGCTGCCTTCTTCTGCAGCCCCTAAGGCAGACTACAATCAGAGATGAATGTTTTTGGCCCTTGTCTCTACCATCCTTGTGTCAGTTTCATCTTATGATATTTTTGATTCCACAAATGAGTGCAGTTGTCCCTCTCTTTCTGAGTCATTTCACTTAGCATGATACTCTCCATGACCATCCTCTTATGTGCAAATTTTATTATATAATATTTTGGGGGGTGGCTAGTGGGAGGCCCCAATGGCTCTTCCCCTAGCGGCCCAGGGTTCGGGGGCCTTGGGCCACTCATCCAGCAGGGGCGGCCTGGGTCATGGGGCAGATGTTGGACAAAATGAGGGCGAAGACGATTGGTTGATCAGATGCCATTTATTCCATTCCCCCACGCGCCCGCCCCTGTCTCTCTGAGCCCCCCCCATTCTAGTCTCATGCTGCCCCTCATTCCCGTCTCCTCCTGTCTCTCCCGCTCATCTCTCCGCGCTCCCTCTCACAGCCTGGGCTCTCTCTCTCTCCACCTGCTGCTCCTGAATTCTTTTACATTCTTCTCCCTCTGTCCCCCTTGCTAGTTTCTCCTTGTTCCATCTTGCTACCCTGCTCTCTCTCATCTCCAACTCACTTGTCTCTCCAACTTCCCATCACTCTGGGCCAACACTGCTCCCAGTCTGGTAGCCAAATCAACATAAGGCTGCCATCAGGCTCAGGGGCAGAAACACCACCTGGGGTATTCTAAAGCCCTCCCTGACTGCCCAAGGGCAAAATACCTCCTAAGGAGTTTTTCTCCTTTCCTCAGTCCAATAACTCTATCAGCATCTTAATACTAGTTATTTTTGTATGGACACAGTAAGAGATACACTGAGTTTGTAGGGTGGCTCTTCTGGGAACATCTTGCCGCAGACTCAGAATATAGTACTCAGGCCAGATTAACCATTCCTAATCCTAGCAGGGTTCGAATCTAGTTATTACTTTTTGGATCATGAGAGCATTTGTCTATGACCAAGCTCTTAACTTATAGTTAAGCATTAGGCACTTTGGCCACACCCATCTCCATGCCAGGGTAGCTCATAACTCACTGCTTGACCAGGGTCCATCCAGTCCCTCGTCAGGATCCTGTCTTTGGGGGTGCTAGGAAGTAAGGGCAACTGAGGCTTAGATCAAGAGAACAGATGCCTAGGAGATAAATATCACTGAGCGTCATAAACTCCCATGTTACAAAAGCATAGCCTTTATGGTTTTCTGTCCATACAAAAAGGACATTGCTCTGAATAAAGTATGCAAAGGACTTAAGGAGAAGAGAAAAATATTATTTACAAGTCAATAGAGCACAAAGAAAGAAGTTACAAATAAACACAGAGGAATGGGAGCACTGTGATGGGAGCAACCCTATAAACCTAAACTATGTGAGGCTATGCAAGTAGGACAAACCAATGTTATCCTACAGCTTAGAGCTCTTTTGAAGTCTTTTCCCATTATATATTGTTTTCTGTAGGATTTCTGCAGTTCGTCTTCATAGAATCTTAATTTCTATATAGAAAAGTTAGTTTTTACTGTATCTGAGGCATGAAGCTAAATAAACCATTACAATAGAGAAAAGGTAAATATTTTTGTGTTACTTTGTAAGCTTCTGTATCCTCATAATTGATATTAATATACTGCTTTTACTTGGGGCATATTTTGTACATAATAAAATCAACACTGATTTAATTGTACTGAACACTTTGATGTTGTAATATAGGTATGACAATCATCTAGATTTCAGGATGGATAGAAAACCAAAAAAAAAAATCAAATTTTGTATAACAGAATCCTTTTATTTAGAAGTAGGTTATTCCGTAGATTTGGTTAAGTCATATGTTTCTTTTCCTGAATATTATGCACAGCAAGTACATAGAGTAGTTTTCTAATCAGGATTATGAATATTTATATCGTGTGAAGTATGTATCTTTCAGTTAAAGCTTTTACTGAAAGCTTACCCTACCATTTTCAGATTTCAGCTAAAGAACTTCTCTTCGGTCATTCAGCTTCGGTGACATGTTTGGCAAAAGCAAGAGACTTCTCTAAGCAGCCTTATGTGGTTAGTGCTGCTGAAAATGGGTAGGTAAATGTATGTGACTGTGTATTTATTTTCTTTCTTTTTCTCTTTACGAAACCAGGAAGGAGTATGGGATCCTAGGGCTTGAGGGACTCTTTAGCTAGTAACATGTCACCTTTAATATTAGAAAATTTCATTTGAGTCGTTGAATATCTTGTGATCGAGCCGAGGAATGTAACCTCTGCTACAATATCTGTGTGCATATATATGTAAATCCATATATCAAATTAATACCAAAATAACATCTTTACATCTGTATCATATTTCTGTGATAACCTTACTATGTAGAGGATACTGACAAATGTTACTGAATGTGCAAATGAACATGAAAAAGATTGGTGATTATTATTTTTGTGTATTAGTTCACTTTGTGCTTTTAAGCAAACACATTCATATCT